AGAATGACACCAGACCCACACTCACAAAAGCCACACAGGATGTCACCACCATACGTCCACGCAAAAAGCAAACCCAAATCCACACCGATGATGAGGCACGACCACAAACCAGAAGCCAGACCACAGCTGCATCATTAGCCACTTTAAACCCCTCCAATCCATACATGAAGCAAACTGACACCCACCATGAAAATGAGGCACAACCATGAACGCGAAGCCAAACAATAGCAATGCAGCTCACCATCTCACATCCCCGTGCAACTCAGACTAACCTGAGCACAACAAAGCCCCCACCCAAACAGAACACTCCCCCATCCAATCAGAGCACAGCCAACTCCCCATCCAATCAGAGCACAGCCAACCCCCATCCAATCAGAGCACAGCCAAGCTCCTAACCAATCAGAACACACCTCCATCCAATCAGAACACAGCCAAGCTCTCATCCAATCAGTTCATACCCCCACTGGCAGTTAAAAGGAGGAAACAGCTACAATCACACATTGCTGCTCAAAGCACGAAGCTGAAAACACCAGCCTGAAGATGACGAATGGGACTTCGTCGAAACGTCGCCAAGACACTTCCAATTTTACGCGGGAGAAAACCCAAAGAACCAAAGACCTACATACAAATACCCGCGAAAACCTCAGAAAACTATATATATATATATATATATATATATATATATATATATATATATATATATATAATGTGTGTGTGTGTGTATGTCATAGCTCAAACAAAGGAGATATCTGGGGACTTCCAAAAATAGTTGTCAATGCTCAGTCAGCCTGGAATAAGTTACAAAATTAATACCAAAGATTTGGATTCTACTAGCTTCCTGCCAGAGCAAAGTGTATAATATTCTAGGAAGTCTCCAAGAACCCTAGGGTAACATCTAAGGAATTAGCAACTTCTCTTGCATTGGTGAATGTCAATGTTTATGAAACCATCATCAAGGGAACACTGAACAACAGTTATGTGCATGGCAAGTTTCCAAGGACAAAGCCATTACTCTCCCAAAAGAACATTGCTGCTCATTTACAGTTTGTGAAAGGCCATAAAGGTAAGCCAAAATGGTACTGGAAAACGTTCTTTGAACTCAGAAGACTAAAATAGAATCTTTTTGTTTGAATGAAAAGCTTTATATTTGGCAAAAACAAACAATGCCTTCCAGCATAAAAACATATGATGTTTTTATGATACATATGATACATGATGATCACAGTATCATAGTTTGACCTGCTTTACTGCCTCTGAACAAAGATGGTTTGCCATCATTGATGAAATTCTGAATTATAGTAACAAATTCTACAAGAAAATGCCAGGGTATCTGACCCTGAATTCACCTCAAGTGAATGTAGCTCATGCAGCATGTCAATAACCCAAAGTCCATAAAATTTGTAACTAAAGAATAGAATTCTTCAAACAGATGAAAGTTAATATTTTGGATTGACCTAGTCAAATGTATAACTTTGCATCATTTTTCTCAATAAATAAATGCACAAGTCTAATATTTTTGAGCATTGAAAATCAAAAAGGTTCACAAACTTGTAAAAACTATTGTGTTGGATGTGTTGTGCTTTTCCTATTGATAAAATAAAATAATTTCAGTATTTGGCTATTCTGCTGCTTCTGAGATTTTTACAATACTGCAGTTTAAATTCCACTTATGGGAGAATGCCAGGGGTCAAAGGTAGGGTCCCTGACATTGCTGCCAATAATCAGTCAATGAGCTATTAAAATCTGTGTTTATCCTTGCTTTGGGCTTCATATACCTCCTTTTCTCTTCCGTTCTCTTGATAATGGGACGTTGCTCTTCTGCACTGATCCTGAGAAGATAATTGGCAGCTTTGATCCACATTCAGCACTTGAAATATTTATTGATTGATTGGCTGGTTGTTGGCTAGTTGGATTGGTTGGTTTATTTTGACTGTCCATCTCAAATTCATTACTCTGGATAGCTAATAAAGGCTTGAAGCTCACTGTACTCTTTACATTCTGTACAATGGGAGTACGCTTAAGGCACTGACATAAATTTGAGCTGCTCTAAAAACAGATGAAGGATCGTAAAGTTGCAAATGCTACTTTTTCTGTGCCATCCTTTTTCACTGTGGTCTGCCTTTCTTACGACATTGTTTCTGACTGACATCCTGCATTTTGTGCTTCTGCATATTAGAAAGACTATTGCGGGCAATCCACAACTCAAATGGCAAGAGGTTAATTCCCCTTGTGGATGCCTAGCTAGCTATATACTAAAATAAAATAAGGGGCAAATATGGTAATCAGACACCCTAGTATTTTCAATTCTGAATAGCAATCATAATAATCTACCAAAAGCATTTTTTTCTATTCTCAGTGATGTCATCTTCCAGCTGAAAAAGTGGCCTCCTCTGGTGATACTCTGGCAGCAATTTAATTGGGTGGAGTATTTTCAAAGAAAAGCTGATCCTCCACTTGCTATTTTTTTGGTCTTCCTATTTAGTTCAAAGTACTATATAATCACCTCAATTTTCTTTTTCAAGTGATAAGACTTGACTATAAAATTGAGAAGTTAAGTATACAGCAGGTCTCTATGTTTCATCCTGGCTTTATCTCTGGTCATCAACAAGTACCGGTAGTATCTTTCTCTCCACACTTTTCTAAGGAAATTGGCCTTCAGCCTGCACTCAGACATTTCAGTCTGTGTTGCTTTGTGCTGAAATGTTTTTTCCTGAAGAGATTAGATGAACTGATTTGCTTTCATTCATGTCTGGCCTAATAGATTTTTACTATGAAATCTGCTTTCAAGTTGTTGTTTTTTCTGCTCTATCTAAAGGTTACTTGCTTCAGGATGCAAATGCAAGCCTGGTTATTTATATTCCATCTGTAGCGAGGACGGAGCCTTATAATTCTTCTGTGCAGAGAAAAATGATTTTATCTCAATAGCATTTATAGAGAAATATCATCACAGCCAGCCTGCCTTGGGGCACTGAAGTTCTGTCTGCTTAATCCTCATTCTTTTCCTAATGGAAAATACAGTTCTTAAATATATGTTGATTCTTAGGAATGAGACTCTCAAGATTTCTTGGGTATTTTGGAATCCAGTGAATTAAGATTCATATTCAATGTGATATCACAATTTCCTCACCCAGGTGCTTCTATTTCAGCTAAGTAGCCAAAGATACTAAAAAAATTGTCCAAAAAGCAATCATGTTTGTTTATAAGAGTGTGCTTTTGCCCACTACGTTATATGGAAAGGAGAACTGGGTATCTTAACAGAAACATAAATATAAGTTGAATATAGAAAGAATAGAGCATTTTAAAATGGTCCATGGTAAAAAAAAAAAGAAGAAATAAGATCAGGAATAAATAGGTGCTGAATGAGTTAATTGAAATATTAATTAATCAATTAATTAACATTTTCTGAAAATCATTCAGGTTTTAGCCAACAATGCAATTCATATCACCAACATATTTCTAATGCCCCTGGAAACATCCATCATTAGAAATATGTTAAACAACTAAAACAACTTGTCTTACCCTCTAGTCCAGGGGTAGGCAACCCAAAACACTCAAAGAGCCACTTGGACCCATTTCCCACCAAAAACAAAACACTGGGAGCCGCAAAACCCTTTTGATATCTAAAATGAAGATAACACTCCATATATCCTTTTTTACCTTTATTATAGGTGTGTGTGTGTGTGTGTGTGTGTGTGTGTGTGTGTGTGTGTGTGTGTATACACATTAAAAATAAAAGTAAAAATATGACTCTTGGGAATATCCATACTATTAAAACAATGATCACCAAGAGAATGCTTTAAGAGAATAAAATTACATCCCCACACAGGTAAAAAAAGGATATATGCAGTGTTATCTTCATTTTAGATGTCAAAAGGGTCTCTCTCTCCCTCCCTCTCTATCTGCCCTTGGTCTGCCACTCCTCTTCTCCCCACTCTCTCTCTCCCTCTCTCTCTTTCTCTCTCTCTCTTTCTCCCCCCCTACTATCTGCTGCTCACCTGGCAAGCTTCAAGCTGTTGTCCAACAACCTCCGGGGTAGGCAACCTCGTCTCTTTTATGACTCATGGACTTCAACTCCCAGAATTCCTGAGTCAGCCTAGCTGGGCTAGCTAGCTCTCTCCTGCCCTTCCTGCTTCCTGCTGAGACGCAGCAAAGGGAGGAGCTCCGCCCAGAAAGCTTTTCAGCTCCTCGGAGAACATGTGAGTACACTCTCTTTTACACATACACACACACACACACACACACACACACCACACACACACACACACACACACAGAGAGAGAGAGAGAGAGAGAGAGAGAGAGAGAGAGAGAGAGAGAGAGAGAGAGAGAAGCAGGGAAGTGCAATTGCCGCTCTCTGTCTCTGTCTCTCTCTGCAAAGGCAGAGGAGGCTGGGAGCCACAGGGGAAGGCTCAAAGAGCCGCATGCGGCTCCGGAGCCGCAGGTTGCCGGCCTGTGCTCTAGTCACTTTTGAGCACCCTTAAGTTCCTAAGCACATAAAAAATGAAAAATCAGCTTGTTCACAGGCATGAAGTATAATATTTAAAGGAAAACCTATTTTCACACATTAAGGTTTTACAAACAAAAATGAATCTATTAGTTTCATATAACATACAAGACATTTGCCAGGCCTCATACATTTCTATACTGACAAGCTCCTGAGATTCCATATGATTTACAATGATAGAATTAGAAACATAAATAAATAACAACCAAGACCTCCTCAAAACTCCAGACTTCATCATTCCAAACAGCAATCTGGATAAAAACACAAGCATAGAATCAAATATACCTCAATGAAATAAACATTCAACATCTGAGAAACAAAAGACTCTTTGGATTGTATGCAAAAATCACTAAAGATGGTGCCAGGTGTATCTCCACAGCGTGTACTATAAAAGACCAGGACTTCGTTCAGGTCCATGTCACTTTGACTACTCATATGAATGGGATTCTAAGTATTTTTCCCTATCTATTTCAATAGTCCAGGCAGATTCCATTTAGAGGATACACTCCTTACCCAAGGTATACTGAAGCTGAGCCAAGTCATGGAAGGCTTTATAAATGAAAATCAACATTTTGAACTGTCTTGCTGGAATTTAATTTGAGACACCAGGTTAGCATTTTACAGCATTTACAATTCAGTCTGTGGTGACAGTGTCTAGTTGGAAATAAACAGCTTATTGATGATACATAACTCCAAACTGACAGATGGCATTAGTAATAATTGTATACATTTTACTGAAAACATTAAAAAAATATCTTTCCTTTGTTAATATCCTTCAATTTCTTCTTGTATGTCAGAGTATAACTTACAAATGAGTGCTTTATTTTTGTTTTCTGGACCAAATAGTTTCTCTCAGTAACTGTGCGGCTCCCCGATCCTGATTTTTGTTTTAATTTAATTTTCTGTCATGCCACAACTCATTCCATTAAGTTTAGGTGTATGGCTGCTTAAATAGCTTGCTTTACCTCTCTCTGGAGTTTTAGCAAATGTGTTTCTTATAACATTTCACTTTTTTTGTCCAAAGAAATAAGAACAATGAGTCTGGAAATCAAAGGACAAGTTAAAAGAAACAGTAAGGAGGGGACCAAAACAATCTTGTGGAGTCAATGCTTTTTATTTCCAGGGGAATTTTTTTTTTCAGTGATGAGATTCTGGAGGGCCGGGTAGACAGACCACCTTTAGAGTTGACTTTTCTGCCTTCTACTCTTTTTTAATGTTGTTAGGATAAGAAATTGTTTCTTATTAGTCAAAATTGTTATTGATTTATTATTTTTAAAAATTTATTTCCAGGAAATACTTGTACAAACTTGCCTCTTAAAGTATCAGCCTGATCACTAGTTCCCTGTGTGTTGCAAAAAGTGGTGAGCAAATCATTTTGAATTAGAAGCATTTAAAATTTGAAACAGGCTGTTTTAATCATGCTGGCAGTGTGCTCTGTTTTAAGTTTGAAATACTCCATTTTAAGCTCAAAACATCCCTAAAGTAATCAAAATAGTTTCTTTCAGATGTGAAATAAACTGCTTTGAATTCAAAATGGGGTATTTAAAATATAGAGGCATACACAAAAATAAAATAAAAATGTTCAAAATGACTTAAAGTTCTGTTTTTTATATATATAGTCCTAGTTGCAAATGTTTCAGGGTGTTGTAAGTTAATGTTTCTTAACCTTAAAGTCCACAATTCCCCAGCCTGCATGTTTTCTCTTTAGAAAGAAAAAAATTGGTACTTTTCTTGTCTTATAGATGACCAGCCTATTTCAACCATTTGTTTCCATCTTTTGAGGACACCAGTTTTTCTAAAGGGGAGCCTCAACAATAAAACCCTTTAGTAGAAAGACCCCGGGCTCCAAAAAGTTGAAATCAATACCTTAATTTTTGCCTTTCCTTTCAGAGATTTTCTTTTGATTACTAATTTTTCCTCTCCAAGGAATTTCTTCTAGTCATTCTCCTTTGCCTTTTTAAAGCAAATCTAAAATAAGAGAGAGAGAAGAAAGAAGTGCAAAGAAAGAAAAGCCAAAAAAAGAAAGCAATAACTAAAGAAACTAAAACAAATTACTTCCAGCCTTCTTTTCAAAAAATATTAACAAACTCATCCTTTCCTCTTAATCTCTTTTTAACTATTCCAGTGATCCCTTCAGCCCCTTATTTAGTCTTCATCTTTTTCAATCATTAAATCCATAAATCATAATTTCAAGTTTTTCCTGTTAGCAAAAAATCCATAAAAGTTTTCTAGTCTTTCAGAGAAGTACTTATTATTTTCTTTGTGAGTAAACATAAATTTTGCCCTTTCCACCAGTTCTGACATTTTTCATAATTTGTTCTTCCGTTGTGGGAATTTCAGTATAATTCCACTATTGCACAAATAGTAATCTTGCTGTAGTTACAATATACAAAATCAATCTTCCATGGGATTTACTCTAATTTGTCTAATTCTAGTTCTTCTAATTTGTTATCTTTCATCTGCTCATTTATCAATGATAAATAATAAAGAAGCTGTCTTCTCCTGTTGCTGGACCTTTGCTAGCCATTTGTGGGCAGAAGCAATCTCCTAATGGTAAAAATGGAAAATTTGTAACTTTATTCAATTATCTCCCACCTCAGTGAAGACTGATATCAGAGTGAAGAGATTTATACATGAACATAACTCTTTTTGTTAAAGTTCTGATTCACAAATATTTTTTTATAGATTCTAACTCAGAAAGTAGAAAGTGAAGATAAATATTTTTTTTCTTTTTTTTAATACCTGCCACAAAATTGCAAACACAACGTTGTCTGTTTCTTCTTGTACTTCTTAATTTTGTTTTAAAATGTTTCAGTTTACCACTGTCTTGGATGAAAATAAATCTTATCAAATTCAACAAGACAGATACTTAAATGGGTATATATAACATTATATTGAGCAAACAGCAAAAGTTTTCAAATATATTATAAGAAAAAATGTTTCTATAAACAGTTTTGTACTGGCTAAGGTAAAAACGTGGGTGAACGAACCAACTGATGCTATCCTGTATAGCAAATTTACCTTTTAATTCACAGTAAAAGAGCCAATTTGGTGCAGTAGTGAAGATGCTGGCTTAGAAACTAGGAAATTTATGGCCTCCCTTAGCATGAAAGCTAGGTAGATGGCTTTGAGCTAGTCTCCCAGCCCACCCACCCCCCGACATGGTTATTGTTATGGGGAAAATAGGCAGGAGTATTAGATGTGTTCATTGCTTTGAATTATCTATAAAAAAAAGCAGGATAAGCCTAAGAAGAAGACTTCTGTCTTATACCATACATGTTTCATAGGGCATATCAAATTAGCATTGCCACAGGTGGAACATTGTTTTCAGCTGAGACCTTTTTACTTCTGGGAAAGCATGGAAGAGAAAGAAAGCCATGCTCAACAAATGCCCTTGTTTGTTTTAAAAGTACCTCTTTTGACTTTACACCCACCAAAGTGAAATTTGACCCTTCCACAGCATTGAAAGGTTCCCAGTAACTATATATAGTTAGTTAGTTAGTTAGTTAGTTAGTAGTTAGTTAGTTAGTTAGTTAGTTATAAAATTTATAGGCTACCGATCTTACTTCAAGGTATAATGAAATCATGGTTTGGTTGGACAAATGGGAGAGCAGCCCTTTAAGTTTGAAAGACATAATATACCATCAAGGATAAAAGAAATAGATGAGTAAAAGTCATTTTTCTATATTTCCCTATTCTTGGTTCTGAAATGTTGGCTGCCAGTTCTTAATTTAGGCTATTTGCTTATCTGTAGATGTATTCAGATGCCATGGGAATAGTCATGGCAATCTCTGAAAGAAGAAAAAAAATAAGCTCTTTGTAGCATTCCATTTCTTCTACATTCCATGCATTTCTGAACATTAATCTATTATTCTGCAGAAAGGCTCCAGAATAATTTGAGGGAGATCTGTGATTGAGAAGATTGACTGTTAAAAATATACTCTAATGTGTTCAACTCTGAAAAATTTAACATTCACCATGGTAACAAATGATCCTTTCCTTCCCAAGTTGACATGTCAGTATTTCTTTTTTTGCTAAGAGGCAGACATCATTCTATTCAGCCATGTCTGGGCTTACAGATGCACAAACTAATATGAAATTGTTGCCATATTGGCAATTTTCTGGGCAAATATCCATTAGATGAGCCATTTCAAATTAGAGAAGAGAAGAAGCATCCCTTCTTACTTACATTCAAACCTTTTCAGAAACATAGGCATAAAGCAAATCCTATACCTCATTAGATGGAAGGAGAGCCAGTTTGATGTAGTGCTTAAGGCACTAGGCTAGAAACCTGGCTGTGGGTTCTCAAAATTACAGAATAACAGAGTTGGAAGTGACCTTGGAGGTCTCCTAGTTCAACCCCCTGCAGAAGCAAGAGACCCTATATCATTTTGGACAAATGTCCAATCTCTTCTTTAAAACCTCCAGTAATGGAGCACCCACAACTTCTTTTTTTTTATTTATTTATAAAGATTGTATTGGGTTTTTTTTTTTTTCATCAACATATGTTAATTTTTCGAATCAACAAGTTGTCTGGAGTTTGCTGTGCTAATACACGTTCAATTCCTAATCCTTCATTCTTTCCTCTAGCCAAGAATAAAATAAGTTCCAAATCTGATAGTAGTCTGTGTTGTGTCCTGGGCCTGATGAGGAAACTCAGCAGGCCCAGAATTGTTGCAAATGGTCCTGGGCATTCTAAAAGCTGCCCGGGACCAGACAGAGCAGCGCCAGCCTTGTGCGCATGTGCAAGGCATGAAGGAAGAAGAACTCTTATTGGTTCATTCTGTCCGGGGTTCAAGCCCTATAAAAGGCCTGCATGCCTTTTGCATTTTGCTTGAAGTTGGAGATGAAGAATAAAGCACTGATTAGTTGTCACCATGTGTCTTCATCATTCGCACATGAACGGAGAATTCAACAGTCTGTATCTTCTTTGTCTTTCAACCTCATAGTTAATCTGTCCATCTCGGCACATTCCAATATTTTCCTGATTATTTCTTCCTCTGATGGCAGTCCTTCATTCTTCCAGTATTGTGCAAAAATAATTCTCGCTGCTGTAGTAATGTGTAAGATTAAATATAATTTCTGTTTATTAGTCTTTTCAGGCATAATACCTAGTAAAAAAAGTTTAGGTTTAAAATCCACTTGTTCATCCAATATTTTTTCTAACCACATATGTATCTTTCTCCAATAGGCCTTTGCCTTACCACATGTCCACCAAATGTGATAATATGTGCCTATGTTATGTTCACATTTCCAACATCTATCTGACATATTTTTAAACATTTTTGCTAATCTTGCTGGCTGTAGGTGCCATCTATAAAACATTTTATACAGATTTTCTTTGCATGAAGTTGACATTGTTAATTTATAGTTTCTCTCCCGTAACATTTGCCATTTTTCTAATCCTATATTATAGCCAAAAAATTTTGCCCATCTTGTCATTGTTTCTTTCACTTGTTCACTTTCCATATCTAAAATTAACAAAAAGTTATACATTTTTTTGAATAATTTCTCATCTGAGGTTAACAAAATCTTATCAAACTGTGTTTGATCCTTGTAAAATCCATACATTTTTACATCTTTTTCATATGTACTTTGTATCTGTAAATGTGCCCACCAGGACAACACAACTTCTGAAGGCAATACATTCCACTGGTTAATTGTTCTCACTGTCAGGAAATTTCTCCTTCGTACTAGTTCTTGTCCTATCAGAGGCACAAAACCATTTGGGTGACCTTGAGCCAGTCCCTCTCTCTCAATCCTAGGAAACAATGGCAAGCCAGTGTAGAAATCTTGTCAAGAAAACTGCAGGGGCTTGCTCAGGCAGTTGCCAGGAATCAACACTGACTCAAAGGCATAAAAAATAAATAACTAGAAGGAAACGAACTTTACATTGGGAACCATAACTGGACTTTCTCAACACAATATGACTATTATTCTACTGTAGCTATCCAGCAGAACACAGGGAGGTTCATCTTTGCTAACATTTCATTGTAGATTAAACAGAAATAGCTTTTTATAAAAAGAGAGTTTGGAACAGAAAAACCTGTTGCCTGGATTAATGTGTTGGCATATAACAGCTGTACCAGTACAGATATTGTGTGCTAGAAAGCAGAAACTCCCCACTCTGCATTTTCTTATAAAATATGAAACATTTAATTACAGTGACTGATTGTACTCATTTCTCCTATACTTCAGAGCTTCAGATAATTTGATGACAGAAAGAGCTTATGTAGAAATGAGGGTTGAGAATTTGAAGTGTCTCTTCAAAATAAATAACAAAATCCCTGCAAAGCACAGCACTTTAAAGTTCAGACTTTGAAAGAGAAAGATGGGAGTTTAAATAACATAGGGAGATAAATATCTATAATTTATTCCTGAAGATTAATGTTGTTGACAAATAACCAAGTCAATGATGAATAAATATTGTTTATATGGAAGATTCAGACGAAGCACTTTCCTTAGCATTATGACAAGATGAATTAGCAGGCCTGCAAGACAATGCAAATCATGAGCTCTGGAATTACCTAGTGAAGCTGCAATGAAATTCTAACCTGCTGTTTCCCAATCTCCCACCTTGGGAAGAATGAGTCTACACTCTAATAGAATTCTGTGCCACTTCGGTCAATAGCTAGGAATTCTTGGATCTACAACCCCAACTCATCAAGAGGATGCCAGGTTGGAACAGATATATTCTAAGGCAACCATACCAAGCCTATTTTCAGTCTGTATTTTATGGGAAAAGGCAAAAGGCAAATACAGGTAGTCCTCAACTTAGCCCAAATTTATGATGCTAAGTGATAAATTTGTTAAGTCGATTTTGCCCCATTTTACAACTTTTCTTGCCACATTTGTTAAGTGAATTGCTGCAGTTGTTAATTTAGTAACACGGTTGTTAAGTGAATCTGGTTTCCCCATTGACTTTGCTTGTCAGAAGGTAGCAAAAGGTGATCACATGACACCAGCATACTGCATCTGTCATAAATATGAACCAGTTACTAAGCATCTGAATGTAAATCACATGACCATGGGAATGTTGCAATGGTTATACGTGTAAAAATGGTCATAAGTCACTTTTTCAGTGCAGCTGTAACCTCAAATGGTCACTATGCAAACTGTTGAAAGTCAAGGACTGCCTGTATTTGGAGGATGAAGATGGTTACTTAGGAAAAGCGAGAGCAAAATCCCACAGTATAAATATCTGTCAATCTATCTATTATAGGTATAAGGAACTTTCAGTCCAGATATCAATATTAGACGTCCAGGATTCTTATTCCAAATCTTCAGATTCTTCTGTGACGTCTCTTCTCTTAGATTCACATCTTTCACTAATGGTTGTATTGGTTTATATGTACAATACAGATAACATCTGCCTTGAATAAAAGCACATCTATAACTCCTTTCTATCTCTGGCTCAGCTCATTTTGCCTTTTGTCACACCCAACATTGGAATGATAAGAACAACAGATTTTAACAAAGTCCTGCCTATATCAGCATAAAAAATTTCCCAGCCTAGTCTGATTTATTTATTGGGCAAAAGTACCGTGTCTAATTAGTAGAGGAGCCCTGACACTTAGATCGTTATGGGACAAAATATAACTTACCATAAGTATAAAACATGGGTTTTGTTTTACAGTACATAGTTACATTTTTAAAAAAGCCTTTACGTTGTTTTAGAATTTAAAAAGAAAGAAAACATAATTTTATACCTCATCTGTTTCAATTCCAAGAGATCAAATATTTTTCAAATATTATTGTACCATGTACATCGTTGCTTCATTCTTTAATACAAAATTCCTGTTTCCATGGTAACTAATATAAAAATTAAAGAATTATATTTGGAAGAGAAAAAAATAATTATACTGTAGACTGGCAAATAACCAAAAGATTCTGCTGTATGCTTTCAAGTTATTCAACTGTAGGTAAGTCGTACTGATCTATTCAGAAAACACAGGATGAAATTTTTTTAAAAAAAACCAAAAAACAAAAAACCACCCCAATGTGAAATCACTCCACTGCACTTCATCCAAATCCTAGATCGATCTAACTAAACTATAACTTAAGGACTTCAGCATTCAGTTAAAACCTCATTATATTTATTTTTCTTTCTTTGCGGTTTTATTAAATATATTAAAATAAATCACAGTTATGATAAAAATAGAAGTATTAACTTTCATGAAATGTTAATAAAACATACCTTAAAAGTAATAGTAAATACTGCTAAAAGAAACATTGTAAATGCTACACATTTTATTTTTAAAACAAAGAAAAAGAAAGAAAATACTTAGAACATTGTAGTACGGACAGAATAACTCAGATAAATCTGACTAGTTTTCTCCAAAGTCTCTCTCATCCTCTGTCACAAAGAGGCCTATGAAAATATTGGTAAGGAACATTAGTCTAATGCTACAGATCAGGTGGAGAATTCTTTTACAGAATATATTTCAGTAAGATGTAGGTATGCAGGTTTTTGCTACCAGGAAACAATCTTGTTCTTACATGTCGTGTCTTTCCTCCATCTCATGAACACTTATGCTGAAAAGATTCCATTTTGTGTGGGAAGAAAAGATTGGATAAAATGCACAAAGGAATACTTTGTTGACAAAGACAAAGTAACATTTCCATTTACACATATTGGTGAAAGGTCTCTTGAATTGTTATCGCTTAGGTTTTTTTTGTAATTCCTACTTTAATCTAAGCAGTTCAGAATCATTGTTGTACGGTAGCTCATAGCTAACTAATATTCCCAGATCAACAAACTGTGTCTGACTCCTAATACTCATATAGCTAAGACTCAGGTTTTGGCACAGAGGTACTGTACAGAGTGGTACTCGTCCACTCTCCTTCTGCTGGAAGAAAAATAAGCTTTGTTCTCTTAAAGATGAAGGGACAACTCTGGAGACATGGAGCAAGAAGTTGCTGTGCCTGAGCTGGGATGTAGCATGTCCCCAACAACTCTGATAAACTACTGCTCTGATCCCAAGAACCTAAAGAAGATCCAGAAACAAACGGGTGTGTATTAGGATGCAGGTCAGCTCTAAGATATAACTATCTAGTTAATCACTGTATCAAGTTTTGATTCTTAATACTTTTTTTCTTACTCCTATCTCCCTGCACAAGTCAAACAATTTATGTGATGTCAGTCTGACTTCAATATTTATTTTTCTCCTTTTTGGGGAAACCAATGAATAACTTGAAAGCCATGTTTCTCTCAAATTTATTAATTATGAAGGACCAGCATCATCTTGTAATTTGCTAAGAGCACTGCACTTATCGTTGTAAACTAAATTTTTTATGTTAACTTTAAAAAAATGTTTGATTTATTTATCTCTTGTGAGTTTGATTTATCTTTAAGAGGAAAAGAACAAAAACTGTTAGTCACATGCTGTTAGCCCACTATGTAGACTAGACCAAGAAAGCAACTCTACATGAAGGCTAAAACTACTTTTATTAAGATTGGCCATATAAACCTGTGTTTTATTTCCCCACCCTTACATTCATATGAATTAGGGAGGTATCTTCCTGAGTGAATCGCACATTTCTTTTGCTTGTTTTGGACTTTAGCCATAATTTTGCTCTCATTGGTTTAGAAAAGGATCTCACCTGTCTCTGTCAAGGTCATCTTCCTTACTCCCATACATGACTTCCTACTATAACAGCAAGGGCTTGCCTTATCAAAATGTTAAGATTTGTTGTGGCTGCTTTAATCAGGGCAATCTCACTGGTTTATATTTTAGCTGATTTTGACTATGTTTTGGATTTTGAAAGTTGCCTGGAGTCTACTGGTGTGGTTGGCCATATCAAATTTTATGAAACAAATAAGTAATTTTCCCCTCCATTTTATTTTATTAATTTAATAAGAAAATGTATATTTCTGCCCCACTTACTCATGGTGACTCTGGGCAGCTTACAAAAATAAAAGCTCTGTACAAAATGCAATAAACCTCCACTGTCTTAGTGACAACAATCAGACAGTTAATGTCCCCAGGCTCATTGGCAGAAACAAGAGGAGGCCAATCTTATTTCCACAGGGATGTTATTCAACAGCGATGGAGTCATTATGAAGAAGGCTTTCTTCTTGGTCCCACCAGATGAATGTCCTTAATAAAGGGAACCTATAACATCCTCTGCTTCCCAGCTCTGGTGGGTCAGATTGATATGACTGGGAAAAGACAGCCCTTCAAATAGCCTTATCCCAGGCCATTAAAGGTAACAACCAACACCTTGAATTATGCCCAGAAGAAATCGACAAACCAATGTAGTTCCCACAAGAAAGCTGACACATGTTGAAATCTAGACTTGCACAGAACCAGAAGATTTATCCATCAGAAAATTGTAAGAATTCCAACTTTCTCACAAATAGGGATAAGTTAGAAGGGCAGGTGAGATACCTCAGAAGACAGGTAGTGTAGCAATGGCTACCAAGTAACTGCACAAGTGCAGGGGAAAGATCAGGATGTGGAAAGTCAATAGGCTTTGGGGGGGCTAAAAGTTCCACACTTTCATCTTATGGAGTGAGAAATGCCATTGATTTACTAGCTTTCTACTGGCATTGATGAATTCTCTGTTTCTGAGACATTATTATTTTGTGTATTTAAAAACTACCCTACCAAATCCAACCTAGTATTTTGTGTGTCTTTGTAATCAAAAGCAAAAAGTTGTCTCAGTTTCTCAGCAATCTGAGAATTTCATGGTTTTCCAAAGTTATTCCATTTGAGATTTGATGACAGGCATTCAACCTAGCTTTAGAGTCCTCATTCAGATGTCCATTTTTATACCCTGAATTCTTTCATACCAGAAGATCCTAGAAAAGAATTTCAGTCATAAATAAAGTTCAGAAGGAACTCTTTTTTATTTATTTTTCCTAGTGGACATTGGTTGTAAAAATTTACTGTACCAGAGAAAGCTCTTTATTTGTGTTGCTAAGAGATTTTTTGCTCACTTTTTCTTACCTTTCTCAATTCTATAAAGGAGAATTCTCTGTATGAGATATAAATATAAATACTCAATTTTTCATTAGGTATTATCTTACTTAATCCATAAGCATATGCATATTAAAGAATGAAAATCATGAGCTTCTTTATTTCTTTCATAATCTTTTTTGTAATATTATAAATGTAATTCCTTGTGGTAGTGGTGGCCCATATTTTAAGTCTATTTTAAAATAAAATACAATTTCACAAGATAATTGGAAATCACAGGAATGTAGTAGAGAAAGAGTTGCATGCATGCTTCTCTGAGAGTGTTAAATCACTGTAAGTAGAAAAGAATAATCTTAATCAATCCTCAGCATAAAACCTAAAGAGAGCAAAAGCTTTCTTAGCTGTGTTTTTACACAGTTTGCAGAGATAATTGTAGCAATGCTCTCAGGGCATATGGCCAAGTAACAGAGAATTTAACTGCATATCCTCATAGTGCTAGGAATTGACACAAGCAATAGTTCATATGCCTGGGCCACCAGGTGATGATTATGTTCCTTTGCTCATTGATAGTGGGACTCATCTGCAGAATTATTTTCCTCCTCCAATAACTCAAAGAAATTCTACAAATTTATTTACACAGATGGGCACTTAAGCAACCACAAATAACAGGTCTGATTTCATTATGCCAAAAAGATTTATGCATGCAATTTAGGTGACCACTTCTGGAAAAATATCTGTTAATTTACAGCAGATATTTAATACAGTGGGGCATTAATATGTTTTTTCTTTCAGCAGGACCAATGAATATATTTTCTAATTCATATCTATCAATATAATTTGATAGATAATAGCTCTAATTAGTTGTTGTCAATAGTTTCCTTTATCTGAAATTATTATACTGTCTTATAGAAATGGTTAAGTTCACCTCACACAATCCTTTCCAATTTTTTTTTTAATCAGTTTTCAACTCTTGCTTCTATTCTGCACACCGAGGCAGTTGGCTTGTGTACAGTACAAATTGATAGGACTTGATCCTACACGGAGTTACTTGGGACAGCTTAGCCTATTGTCACAGATATAGTGAAAATCTGGAACTTTGATTTATTATTACTCTGAAACAAAAACATATCTGGTCTCTTTTTCAAAAAGAGAGCGAGAGAGAGCGATAGAGAGTGAGATCAAGGGGGCTCCCATGGGGAAGGAGGAGAAGCAAATTTGAAGTTAGAGCAGTCTGCTGAAATGTCTTGGAGGACACTAGATAAATGCTTGTAGTATTATCTCTATAGGTGTTCACTACATCTGTGAATAAAAGCTTAATTCCTAGTTTGCAGGAATAATTTTATAAATCTAGCTTTGTTTCAACTACATTTGTCAAATGTTGCTTGAAACTATTTTGAAGGGAATATAAGATTAGTAGAATGCATTACACATGATGAAATAATATGATACTGATCACTTCCTTGTATAAAAACAAAATATTTCCTGCTGATAAACCATACATCTATTTTCATGTATTTTCAACATATATTTCAAATAATTTGATGCACTGGGCCATTTGGTATTTATGAAGGCATTACATTTTTTCAAGCATGACACAGTCTCTGCATATTTCAGTTTAAAATATATGGAATAAATTTGGAGCATGAAATACTAACAGCATGCAGCACATAAGCAGTTTTAATATCCTTCATGCTTTAATGATTTATTTGTCACATATTGGCAACATTAATTAAAATGAATTTGTTGTTATTGTACTTGTGTGATTATAGTAATCCTATTTTTCAGGAAAAAGAAGGCACAACTGAATAGGTTATATTTTACAAGTTTCTTTCTTTTTCAGAAAGAAACTTTTTATATTAAGAATATTAGTATTTTTCAAGGATATCAACAGTTATTATCTCTGGTATAACAGCCATGGATAAATCATGGTAGTCATTATTGTAAGTAAGAAAATGAACCACTCAGAAAGTTAATAATCTTCAAAGAACTAAGCAAGCTGCTTTGAATTTACATAAAATAAATTATGGATTTCTGTTATTACAATTATACATTTATATGGAACAGAATATTTAAAGTACAGTAGCTTTCTCTGATAACCTGAGTAGATGAATCTGTGCACTAAGCATTATGCTAGAGAATAAATATGTATGCAAAGGTAGTCCATTATAGAAGATTGGCCATAGGTCTACTGTTTGATATTTATAGAGTTTATAGAGTTTCTTTCAGACTTTGTAGCTTGTAGCTATAGATGTATATATTATTATTACCCATAAAATTCATATCTTGGTTGATTTGTAAGTAGTAAAATGGTGCTATAATAGTTGTTTCCACCATAGGATAATTAATAATTAGATAAGCTGATATAGTTTAGAAAGCTGAAGCAGATTTAGTTTAGAAATCAAATAAAAATAGTTAAAATGTTCAGGAGTGGAAATTTCACAAATATGTATCTCAATATTTAAGAGAATTATTTCTGTTATTGATATTCCATGCTTCCTTTAAGAAATTGAAGATGGTTTACATAGTTCTTCTTCCCTTATGTTATATGGAATATGAAACGAATACATTATGGTGTGACATGGTAGCAGTGTTCCAGTATCCCAGGGGTTGCCACAAAGAAGAGGGACTCAAGCTATTCCCCAAAGCACCTTAAGGCAGGACAAAAAGGAATTGATGGAAACTAATCAAGGAGAGAACCAGCCTAGAACTAAGGAGAAATTTCCTGACAGAACAATTATTCAGTGGAACAACTTGCCTCCAGAAGTTGTGGGTACTCCAACACTGGAAATTTTTAAGAAGAGATTGGACAATATAGGGTTTCCTGCCTGAGCAAGGGGTTGGACCAGAATACCTCCAAGGTCCCTTCCAATCTGTTATTCTGTTATTCTAGTTTATTAATAGAATAGAGTTTTATATTTCAGTTTCTCCAAATCAGAGATAAAACTTAACCTTTATAGAAAACTGTAAGTAGTTCAAAATACTTAAAGGATGCCAAATTGAGATACACTACTCACTTGTACTATAATGAAGATTCACTAAGGTTCAAAATTAACTCCCCCAAATATGGAATAATAGCAATAGCAATTAGAC